CGGCCTCTTTTTCATTACAAATTAAACACTGGTTGAATCCCTCAACTCTTAGGCTGGGGTAAAGTCTGATCTTACAGCAGGGTACATCTGGATTAACTCCTTCCGTGGGGTCCCTCGGCTTTACACCACTGTTACTGAGATTGTACTCCAGCCCCCTATCCTTCCCTAACCTCTATCCTGCCCTGGAGTGACCAGCCTTTTAGGAAGAGAAGGGAATTTAGCTTCCATGTAAGAGGGCTCGCTTTTCCCCCTTCCTCTCCTTCTGGATAGTAAGGCTCAGCTTTTACCCAGCTGCTATCCCCCAGTCGGTCTACTGGCTGCAGTGGGATTACATGGGTGTGATTTGATCCTAGCAGGTCAAGACTTGGAAGAAGCAGAGAGTGGAGCATATAATGCAAGGCGATCTTGGATTGCTCCTCTCTTTGGAGAGGGGAAGGACAGCCTTGTGGCTAAGAGATATCTGGGTTCATTTCCCTGCGCTGGCTTCTTGCCTGGCCTTGGGAAAGTCACTTGCCTTAGCTTCCCCATCTAAGGCTCCATTCATAAATGGTTAATGGAAGTTATAAGCATGTTAGAGAGAGTAGTATGTTTGCAGTGTTGTAGCCATGTTGGTCCCAGGATATTAGAGAGACAAGGTGCATGAGGTAGCATCTTAGGTTGGTGAAAGAGACAAGGGGACCTGAAGAAGAGCTCTATGCAGCTCAAAAACTTGTCTCTCTTACCAGCAGAAGTTGGTCAATAAGATATTACCTCCCACACCTTGTCTCTCTAGTATGTGGAAAAGATGGCTGTAAGCAACCTGGACTCTAATGATTTAAACCATCTATTAACCCTTCCTAAACCATTATAAATGGAACCTTAATATAAAGTGTGATGGAAAAGCCTATAAGTAACACTGCAGGAAAGAGCGCACTGTTGGGGCCCTCTTACCCCACCAAAGGTAGCAGCACTAGGCTCTGGGATTCTCAGGGGATTTCCTCTTTTTTCCTTGTCATTCAGTTCCGCCACAAAGTAAAGTTTGAAGGGATGGACTCCTTGATTTCACGCTCCTCCAGGAACTCCAAACGCTCCCGCCTCCTGTCTGCTGGCACCATCTTCCGCTGTGCCAGTTCCACCGTCTCCTCCAGCTCCTGCAGCTCAGAGGAGCTGGCCCTTTCAGAGAGCCCTGTCCTGGAGCCATACAATGTACAGTTTTACTTGGACCGTCTACCCTCTGCAGTCAATAACCTTCTGGACCAGTTTGACCGGGTCATTAGAGTCATGGAGGATGTATGCCAGTTGGAGAGGGGTCTGGAACAGGCTCAGAAAAGAATTAATGACAAGAAGGGACAGAAGAGCCTGCAGGGGGAGAAGGTGACATCAGTTAAGCAGCTAGAGCTACCGAGGACTTACAGCACCTTCCCGGAGTCTGCCCTGGTCAGACTGAGGGCCCACAGGGCCAAGGTCTCCAATGGCAATGCCACTGATGGGCACAAGCTGGTCCAGCAGCCTCCAGCAGGTGGGATACCTCACCCAGTGGCTGGGTGTGCATCCAGGCTGGTTGGCCCTCCAATATCAACTGATCTCTACCAAAGGCTTACCCAGGCACCAGGCATTTCGTGCAAGTGGAGACCAAAGAGTGAGGAGGGGCAGGGCAGTTTGTGCCATGAAGTTCCTCAGAGGCAGATCCCTTTAAAGAGAAGAGCATGGCAAACAGAAGGAGCTGAGAACGTGTAATGAGACGAAGGTAGAAATCAGGTCATTAAGGGAAGGTCAGACTCCTGTCCCAGCCCTGGAAACGGAGGCCTCTCAATTTCCAAAGGGTGCTTCACTCACAGCATCTACCCAGCTGGGCAAAGGCTGTCCTTGTGAAGGACAAATCTTTGCATTAGCTCAGTCCTTCACCCCTCTCCAGCACAGTGCACCAGAATGCCATTGTTCCCAACTCCTCAGGGGGTCCGACAGTGGGCATGTGATGCCAGTTGCTGGGGCAGAGCTGAAACCCAGCAAAATCATTACATGGTGGTGCTCCCCTCAGAAGTGAACAATAAAGTGGGCAGTTTCATAAGAACTGCAAGAGATATGATGGCTGATGATACAGTAGCAAGTCCGTCCCTTTCACAATATTAGTGCTGACGGCCTCCCCCCTTCACAGAAATGGGCTAATCGAAAGGCAGCTGGAGCAACCACCCCCGAAGAAGCTCTCCCCATATTGCTGCTGAGATCCCCCAGACTGAGACTTGTCAGTTGCTTCCCAGCGCTTTGGAACACTCTCCTGAATAGCCTGAAACAAAGGCAGGTGCAGTAGCTACCCTTGAACAATTCTATCCTGAGAATCAACTCCTGGATGATTATTTTTTTTTTAATGGCATTAAAGAATGTGTGGAAAATGAGTTTATTTGAATTAATCACTAACACCAGCTATAGTACACACACATTATAGACACAACCATGCAATGTATTTCGCTAACTAAATTAAAAGATTTATTATAAAGGTAAGAATGGTTGAATGCATTGGTCTGTCCGTACGGCTGTGTTTTTGCGTCTGCTACTTGCATCTGGCCATTGCATTTCCTGGCTTTAGTGCCAAGTGCCCATTCATTCCCTTTGTGAACTGTGTCCTGTGCGCTCCCCAGTCTGTTCCTCCTGTAGACACTGAAGCATGGCCCTTGGCGTGGTGGTGCCATGGCTGCTGTTCCCATTTTTTCCAGGGTCGCTTTCTGAGGCCTTCCCTATCCTCGCTCAACTCCTTTATCTAGAAATCAGAATTTCCTACCCCGAACAACCCACTGCCCCAGCTAACTTTCTTGGTGTGACACATCATAACCGTGTTACTACAAAGAACCCTGATCCCTAATCCTTCGTTTGGATTTATATGCCTTGCAGCTTGGGTCCCATCACCTGGAGGCAGTGTGTTTAGGGATGGCTGTTGTGTACCTCTTAGATGAAGCCCAGCAGGAGGCTGAAATGGAAGATTTCCAACCCTCGGAATGCCCTGTTGACTGTAAACTGCATCCGTCCCTCATCCCCAGTTACATTTCTGCAGCTCTGTTTCCAATGCAGTGAAAGCACTTGCTTGGGCAGGAGAGGATGTCATTAAAGTTTATCGTCTCTTTGCTCATAACTCTCACTTGGATATGATTTTGTGAAGGGTGGCAGGGCTCCAAGAGTCAGAGGAGGAAATTCATGATTCATGTCACAGCCTCTAGTCAGAGAAAGGGGCTGGGTCTCATTAGCACTTCTAGACAGGGTGAGGTACTGCTAAGGGAACCCAGCTACCGGCAGCAACACAGATGCATTAGTCTTTTGTGTTCTCAGCCCCTCAATCCAGCAAGAAGTGAGGACTGAACAACTCAGACACAGGGCAGCAGGCATCTTCAGGACCTTGACACCAGTGAGCAGGAGGGAAGAATTTCCAGTGACACACATACCAAACCGCAGGCCATTCTCTGCCCCTGGTCTGGCACCATTTCAGGCCCAGCACAAGAAACAGTTGTAAGGTAGAGGGCAGCACACAGGCCTAGGTTGTTTACATGCACCCCCCATGGGTCTTTTGGGAACAGCAGATTGCCCCCTGGTTTTGTCCACTATGGAGTCTGTCTCATTTTAATAATGCCCCTGACACAGATAACGTGGCAGGGATGGGATGAAATGGCTCCATTTATAGGGTCAAGGGTTACTTATTTCTATTAGAATATAATGTTTGACTTCAACTAGCTGCCAGACCTCACGTACAGGCCTTAGCCCACTTCAGCATCACAGAGGAGGAACAAAAGTAGCACCATTCAAAGTCTTTCACTCCATGCAATGTAATCAAAGTAGGGCTTTTACCCCACTACATTTCTACAATGTCCAGCAGCCCAGGCCTCTCTTCAGAAAGTTGAGAGAATTCTATATAGAAGTTGGAAAATAAAATTAGTTCCAGTGTTGGTCATAGCAACACTACGCCATTGACTTCTCACTGCAGCAGGAACAGGCCCAGCTTCAGGCAGAAAATTCTTCATTCGCACACATGCAGTTCCCATCCAGCTACTGAGTGCAATCACGATCATTACTTTGCTAGAGCAGCATAAACCTTATTTCAATGGCCTCATGCCGTAAGCAGTGGCACTTTTAAAACAACGTTTCTAGGCAGTAGATTTTTAAGGGAGAAAAATGCAGCTATCCAGACATAGAAACTAGCATCCCAGAGTGCAAGTACATTCAGTTCCCATTTCTCTCTGCAGCAAAGGTGTATAGCAATTGGTTTAGTGGAAGCAGAGAAAAGCCCATAATGCACCTGGCTTATTGGGCAAAATTGTACCAGGGAGACAAAATTCATTCCTGACTCCAGCTGGTGATCAAACAGCATGAAGATTACTAGCCCTTGTAAATTTAATCCCAGCTATACGTAAAGCTCCTCTTCACTTCAACACTGCACATGGCTTTTGCTATAACAAAATCCACACTAAATACTTACTCATTAAAATGCCACAATCCACTTCTGCTGCACTTGGTTTTAATGTTAGTCATAGGAATAAATGCATTTACATGAACTAAAATCAGCATAGAAAGCCCTAGGTCTAACACCACAAACAGCAGCACTAAAAATTCCACATGACAACAATTACTGATTTAAAAAAAAGCCAGTTAAAACCTACTACCCTGCCCCACAACGGAAACAAACCATTGCTGCTCCCTCTGGGACTTGGCCTGTGACTGCAAACAGCCTTTTCTGAAGAGGGAGTGTTAGGTGCACTGACTACACCTCCTTGCCCTTGATTCAGTTTAGCTCTGAGTAGCTGCCCAGTGCCTGTTGCTAATGTGTGACGATCTGATTGTTCTTTGGAATGGCTAAACAATTCTATTAGGGGAGCCAGTCAGATTTCCCTTGCTGAGTTATAAAGCTTGCAGTCAAATAATGGAGGAGGGTTGCTAGCAACCACTTACCCTCAAGGACGCCACCTCAAAGTATGACAGGTTTCAGAGTAGCAGCCATGTTAGTCTGTATTTGCAAAAAGAAAAGGAGTACTAGTGGCACCTTAGAGACTAACAAATTTATTAGAGCATAAACTTTCATGAGCTACAGCTCACTTCATCGGATGCATACAGTGGAAAATATCGTGAGGAGATTTTATATACACAGAGAACATGAAACAATGGCTGTTACAACACAGACTGTAACAAGACTGATCAGGAAAGGTGAGCTATTACTAGCAGGAGAGCGGGGGAGGGGGACCTTTTGTAGTGATTATCAAGGTGGGCCAACTGGACCCAGTAGTGACTACTATGGTATCAGAATGCATGTTCTTGTTCACCTGAGCACTAATCCTGGTTTGGAGACTTAAGAGGTGTCAACACCACCTTGCAGCAGTCAGTTCCACTGGTTTTATTTATTGCTTCCTTAAAGGCTGGGTTCGGGGTTAGCCATTCTCTGGTTGTCTTGTAATGTAGATGATTTTAAATAAACATAGTAGCAGATCAGCTGCTTTATTCTTTACATCCTCTGTGCAATTTAATTTTCTCACTCATCTTTTTATGGATACCCTGTCACAGCGATGGCCCTTTTTCAGTACCTGTACCAAGCAACACTGAGACAGGCATTTCTACCTATCAAAAATCGTCGTCTGCTGAAGTCTGATGCACAGAGGTAATTTAGTACTCTGATTCCATCCTCTTTGATTGCTCTCTTTACATGCTGGCAGTTTAGCACGTTAGTTCCTAACCTTTTAGAAATGTTATAGTTTACCATGGCTGGCTCGAAGGAAGTCAGCCAGGTGTCCTTTATGAAGTACCCACGACACAAATTCACTTCAATGGGAGAGGAGGGCACTCAACCCCTCTCTGATCTTAGTTGTACCGGCCTCTCCCATTAAGCTGTGCTCACACTAGCCAAGAGCTGTGATGAGCTACACAACGGCTTAAAACATGCACAAGTAGATGGTGGGGCAGCTGCCAATGGTGGCACACCAAGATTAAGCACAAAGCCAAGAGGGGAAAACCTGGTGCCTGCAGTAACTGGAATAGTAACAACTTGTCTAGCAGATCCACTGACTTTATTTTTATTTTTTAATCTTGTAACCACCACTTTACCAGCCACGGATGGCAAATGAGCTATTTTGCCTACTAGATCATGTTAAGTCACATTGTATGTGTCGGTTCATGTGACAAAGCAGGCCAGAGTCTCCTGTGGCTCAGACTCCATTTGTGACACTGGGAACTCTGCTACGGATGGTGGGGTTTTAGCTAGGAACCCAGTCTACTCTGCTCATCCATAGACTGACAGCATTGCTGGCCAATTCACTGATGTTTATAGACGTTGGAGGTGTAGACAGTCCCTTCCTAGAACAGGGCAGAGGGAGCTTTGTGACTAAAAGGGCCATTCCCAGCCAAGGTGTACTTCTATGCTTAACCTGTTAGCATCGGTTCATCCATCCCAGCTTCCAGGCACTATTGCAAAGGAATGCCGCTGTAGATGCTCTGTCGCGATTGCTGTGGAAGATCAGCATTTCACAGGTGGTACACCAGGTATGTGGAGTAATAACAAATCAGTTTGTCGTTTGATTCACTCAGTCCCAAGTGTTTTCCATACTTGCACTCAGTAATGTTGTCAAACCCTTCCTCCCTGGAGACTTAGCAGGGGTCTGGACTGCTTGCCTCTGGAAGAGATGTCAGGTCTCAGAGGCACGAGTCTGTAGGTTCACACTATAGTGTTTCTCCTCCACGTGGTTAGTTTGCTCCAGGAGCCACTGTTTCTGCTGCTCATTCACATCCAGTCTCAATGTCACCTCCTGGAAGATCCTGTTCACGGCAACCTATATACAAGGTAAGAACAACCCAGATTGATCTCAGGCCTTAGCTAAATGCTGCTTCAAAAGGGGAGGCTCTCCTGATCAGGCTGGTACCTCACCTCCTTAAAATTAAGCTTTTTGAACATGCAGATACTAGCTTCATTTTCCTGTCCAACCTTAGCCTCAAATTTGGTAATTCCCAGCTTTGTTACTCCTACAGGAGAAGCGAGAAAGAGAGATAAGAACCCCTAGCTGCACACATGTATCTCCATAACATTGCATTGTGTCATGACTGCAGACTAGCAAGATTCCCATGCTCCTTAAATATGGGGGCTGGTGTATATATCCACCACCCTCTCCACATATGCAGAGCAGCCAACGGGAGCACGTGTGCCTGTGTGTCCCTATCACATCACTTCCGTCCTCCCACATTTAGCCATCCTTACCATAAAACATCATAATCAGAGTTGTCTCCTTGCCAAACCCTCGGCCACGGCAGCTGGGCTCTAAAAGAGAAAAGAACAGACGTTGGTGTCCATCTATATAACACAAACCCTGTAACTCAGTCATGTGCTGGACTAGCAGAAAGCGGATTGCAGATAAGGACTGAATTGCACTGGTAGAGCTCTGAGCACAGGAAGCTTGTATGTTATCTGCCTACTTTCCATCTAGCTGTAGCCAATGCTACCACTATCTGATGAGGAGAGTTGTCAGAATCCCCCTGAAGCCAGTTGCATGCTTTCGTACCTAACAGCTATTGCAGGGCAGAGGGTGGCATTAGGGTGACAGTGGCATTAGCCTGGGGCTGTGCTTAATTGTACCTGCAATCATGACTTCTATCTCCCCCACTGTTGGATCTTCCATATCTGTGAGGAACAGGTTCACATCCCCCACCATGCAGTCCTCCTCGGTACCTGCTTGCCCAGACCACCTCTCAGTCTCCAGTACAATAAACGTGCATTCTGGGGAAAGTGAGACAGCAGCAGAACTCACAGGGCATGTTTAAGAATCATTCACAAATTACTGAAGTATGACAATAAAGATGATGGACAATGGGCAGAGAAGCAACATCCTGCATGTATTAATAGCCTGTATGAACCAGTAATCAGGGCTCTGGGCCAGACAGGCATGCTTATCACAACTGCCACTACCAGCAGCACCCTAGAAAATCTATGCTGGTTTCAGTTTGCATGGACCCAGGGCTCACACAAATACTTTAACTTGATGCAATATATAAAATTAATGTGGATTAGGTTTCCCCACTTCAACGCCTTTTACAGTAAATTCAGGCAAAGAACCTTGAATGTGAACATAAGAGACTGAAGCAACCTGTTGAGTCACCTAGTCTATCCCTCTGCTCCTTTCAGTATGTCTTCTCGTGCTGTCACTACTGACCAAGACAAGGGTTAACCTCTGGTTTTCAGAGGTTCCAGTGATGACAGTGAGACCCAGAAATGCTGGTTACATAATTTTTAAGGGAGGGAAGGTTATATCCTGAGAACTTACTCCTTAAATGACCCCAAATTTGAACCACTAACACTACTCCCCACCCCCCGAGACACAGCAATTTTCAAGACAAGCGGATTAAGCACTTTTGTTCTAGAGCATTTAGAACAAAACTGGCAGTTAAATAGTAAGCTAGTCTCACCCTTAACTCTAGGGGGGCTACTGCCCTGCTATAATGGCTCACACCCCTTACAGTATAGCCTTGTAGAATCACACCTGCCAGAAACTCAGAGCTAGCTGTGATTCCGAACAACAGTGAGGCGGAAGCGTTCACTACACCTTTCCACTCTTGCAAAACATTCAAACACCTCACTATCTGCATCCTCCTGCCAGCTGCGCTGCATCTCATACTCCTGCTCCAGGCTCAGTGGCTCAGATGCGGTCAGTCGCTGTAGCTCCTCCGATTTCATCCACTCGTGGTACCTGATGGAGAGTGCCACAAACTGAATGCAGACCTATTTAGAACATCACCTGTTGTGTTCCACTGAAATCTTTAAGGGTCAGACTGTCCCCCGACCATGAACCTATTCAGAAAACTACAAGTTGCTATAGATGCCCTATTGGCCAGGGGCTGCAAGGCTCACATAACTTCTGAAATAACATAGGCATCAGTACACACACTCCTTCACCCAGGCACACAAATGAAGTATAGTATAGGGGTGTGTGACACCTCCCTTGAGTCTGTTTTGCACTGAGACTGCAATCATCCAAGTCTGCAGTTTACAAACTCATGGCTTAACGTTTAAATTTTTCAGAGACCAGTTCAGCTTTTATGAGTTGAAGTTTCACTGTTCACAAGCAATTTGGAAAAAGTTATAGCGAGCACTGAAAATGCAGCAGTTCTGATGACTGGTTGGTGGCCAACGTGAAATGAGCTAGTGGGCTCAGCCCACTTCTAACTGGACAAGTGTCCACATGGATAAACAAATATCACCACTGACATTTGCTGTCCACCTTTGATGACAGTCTCAGGGGAGGGATCAAGGACCTTGAGCTGCCATCTCACACCTGGAGGTGGCTGCTCCGGAGCAGAAGCAAGGAATAGGGGCAAGCCAACATAGGCATTGCTGCTGCTTGTGCTGTGCCACTTACACAGACAAAGAGATCATTTCAGGCCCCAGGGCTGGTAACCCAGAGCCTTCCATGAGTGCTAAATTCCCTTAAAAAATAAAGTTGAACTTTAAAAATAGAAACAGATGTCAGGCTACATACCGGCATACATGAGCAGAGGTGTATGGTACCAGGGTCACCTTTTTCCCCTGTAAGACTGTGTTCTGGTTAATCTTCATAGTCTCTAACCTGAAAGAGAGACAGAAAGTAACTTACTGAAGTCTTTAAAGATGCCAAGGGAAAAGTACATCATCATCTGTTCTTTGAAACTGAGTAACTATAATGAATTTCACTTTCTCATTGAGACCCCTTTAAATAATGGGCCCCAACTTTTTTTTTTTTTACTTCCTTACAAACTCTCCCCCCCCCCCCCCCCCAACATACATTTTTCTGCTCCCCTAATGGGTTATCCTGGTCTTTTCAGCAAAGGAGACACTGGCTAAGTGACACCTGTAAGAGGTGATGAGAAAATGCAAGAGACGAGCCCCACACCAAAACTGGCCCTAGTCTGATAGGTCAGCACTGAGCAGCCATTTGCCCCCACACCACTGCGTCACATCCAAGCAGTGAGGGACACAGATCCATCACTCTCCAGCCCCAGAAAGGAGGGGGGAGGAAATGGGCAGCATCCAGCCCCTCCCCAAGGGGGGTAGGGAGGTCGGTGGGAAGGAGTCTGGGGTGACATCCAGCCCCAGGTGGGGGGGGGAGGTGGGGGGGGAGTCCGGGGTGACATCCAGCCCTTCTCAGGCTCAGGCCCGGGTGGGGGGGGGGGGCAGGTGGGTGGGAAGGAGTCGTGGTGGCATCCAGCCCCTCTCTCACCCAGCCCCAGGTGGGGGAGAAGGAGCCGGGGTGGCATCCAGCCCCTCTCTCGCCCAGCCCCAGGTGTGGGGGGGGGCAGGGGAGGTGGGGGGGGAGGAGCCGGGGTGGTATCCAGCCCCTCTCTCGCCCAGCCCCAGGTGGGGGGAAGGAGCCGGGGTGGCATCCAGCCCCTCTCTCGCCCAGCCCCAGGTGTGGGGGGGGGGGCAGGGGAGGTGGGGGGGGAGGAGCCGGGGTGGTATCCAGCCCCTCTCTCGCCCAGCCCCAGGTGGGGGGGAAGGAGCCAGGGTGGTATCCAGCCCCTCTCTCGCCCAGCCCCAGGTGGGGGGGGGCAGGGGAGGTGGGGGGGGAGGAGCCGGGGTGGCATCCAGCCCCTCTCTCGCCCAGCCCCAGGTGGGGGGGGGAAGGAGCCGGGGTGGCATCCAGCCCCTCTCTCGCCCAGCCCCAGGTGGGGGGGGGGAAGGAGCCGGGGTGGCATCCAGCCCCTCTCTCGCCCAGCCCCAGGTGGGGGGGGGGGGGAAGGAGCCGGGGTGGTATCCAGCCCCTCTCTCGCCCAGCCCCAGGTGTGGGGGGGGGACAGGGGAGGTGGGGGGGGAGGAGCCGGGGTGGTATCCAGCCCCTCTCTCGCCCAGCCCCAGGTGGGGGGAAGGAGCGCGGGGCATCCAGCCCCTCTCCCCAGCCCCAGGTGGGGGGGGACAGGGGAGGTGGCGGGGGAGGAGCGGGTGGTATCCAGCCCCTCTGTCGCCCAGCCCCAGGTGGGGGGAAGGGCGGGTGGCATCCAGCCCCTCTCTCGCCCAGCCCCAGGTGGGGGAAGGAGGGGGTGGCATCCAGCCCCTCTCTCGCCCAGCCCCAGGTGGGGGGAAGGAGGGGGTGGTATCCAGCCCCTCTCTCGCCCAGCCCCAGGTGGGGGGGGAAAGTGGTATCCAGCCCCTCTGTCGCCCAGCCCCAGGTGGGGGGGAAGGAGCCGGGGGTGGCATCCAGCCCCTCTCTCGCCCAGCCCCAGGTGTGGGGGGGGGGCAGGGGAGGTGGGGGGGGGAGGAGCCGGGGTGGCATCCAGCCCCTCTCTCGCCCAGCCCCAGGTGTGGGGGGGGGACAGGGGAGGTGGGGGGGGAGGAGCCGGGGTGGTATCCAGCCCCTCTCTCGCCCAGCCCCAGGTGGGGGGAAGGAGCCGGGGTGGCATCCAGCCCCTCTCTCGCCCAGCCCCAGGTGGGGGGAAGGAGCCGGGGTGGCATCCAGCCCCTCTCTCGCCCAGCCCCAGGTGGGGGGGGAAGGAGCCGGGGTGGTATCCAGCCCCTCTCGCCCAGCCCCAGGTGGGGGGAAGGGGGTGGCATCCAGCCCCTCTCTCGCCCAGCCCCAGGTGGGGGGGGGGAAGGAGCCGGGGTGGTATCCAGCCCCTCTCTCGCCCAGCCCCAGGTGGGGGGGGGGGAAGGAGCCGGGGTGGTATCCAGCCCCTCTGTCGCCCAGCCCCAGGTGGGGGGGGGAAGGAGCCGGGGTGGCATCCAGCCCCTCTCTCGCCCAGCCCCAGGTGTGGGGGGGGGGCAGGGGAGGTGGGGGGGGGAGGAGCCGGGGTGGCATCCAGCCCCTCTCTCGCCCAGCCCCAGGTGTGGGGGGGGACAGGGGAGGTGGGGGGGAGGAGCTGGGGTGGTACCCCTCTGTCGCCCAGCCCGAGGTGGGGGGAAGGAGCCGGGTGCATCAGCCCCTCTGTCCCCAGCCCCAGGTGGGGGAAGGAGCCGGGGTGGCATCCAGCCCCTCTCTCGCCCAGCCCCAGGTGGGGGGAAGGAGCCGGGGTGGCATCCAGCCCCTCTCTCGCCCAGCCCCAGGTGGGGGGGAAGGAGCCGGGGTGGCATCCAGCCCCTCTCTCGCCCAGCCCCAGGTGGGGGGGGGGAAAGGAGCCGCGGTGGTATCCAGCCCCTCTGTCGCCCAGCCCCAGGTGGGGGGAAGGAGCCGGGGTGGCATCCAGCCCCTCTCTCGCCCAGCCCCAGGTGTGGGGGGGGGGGGGAGGTGGGGGGAGGAGCCGGGGTGGCATCCAGCCCCTCTCTCGCCCAGCCCCAGGTGTGGGGGGGACAGGGGAGGTGGGGGGAGGAGCCGGGGTGGTATCCAGCCCCTCTCTCGCCCAGCCCCAGGTGGGGGGAAGGAGCCGGGGTGGCATCCAGCCCCTCTCTCGCCCAGCCCCAGGTGGGGGAAGGAGCCGGGGTGGCATCCAGCCCCTCTCTCGCCCAGCCCCAGGTGTGGGGGGGGGGCAGGGGAGGTGGGGGGGGGAGGAGCCGGGGTGGCATCCAGCCCCTCTCTCGCCCAGCCCCAGGTGGGGGGGAGGAGCCGGGGTGGCATCCAGCCCCTCTCTCGCCCAGCCCCAGGTGGGATAGCTGGCCCCCCGTGGGCTGCGGCTGGGAGGCAATGGAGGGGGACACCCAGCCCCGGGTGGGGGGCTATGGGGGGCGCCCAGCCCGGGGGGGGATATCTAGCCCATGCGGTCCTGGGGCTACAAGGCACCTCCTGTCTTGGTCCGACCCGCTGCGGGCCGCTGTACTGCCTCACCTAGGGCGCATGCCACCGAGTCGAGTGCGGCCGCACGGCTCCGCGCTCCCGCACGTGATCCAGCGCATCCAATCGGCGGAGCAGGGGCTAGGGTTGGCCTCGTTACGCGTGCGGAAGATCTTACCGCTGCGCGGTGAGTCCGCGCATGCTCTGTACGTTCCATGGGATGAGGGTGGCGTCTCGGGTGTGCTGGCCGGGTCCTTGGGAGCGCAGGTACGGGAGGAGCTAGCTGCCTGTGGGGCGGGGACGGGGTTTGGAGTCGGTCTGAGAGATGGGGCTCTGGGGTGACATGTGGGGGGTTGGGCAGTGCGGGGGCCCTGGGGTGGGGTGGAAGCTGGGGGCTTTGGGGTGGGAGCTGGGGGGTCCCTGAGATGGGCGCTGGGGGAGTTGGAGTGGGAGGTGGGGGGCTCCCAAGGGAGGTGGGAGTTGGGTATTGTGGGGGCTCTGGAGTGAGAGGTGGGGGGCTCGGGCAGTGGGGGGACTCTGGGGTGGGAGCTGTGGGGTTGGGAAGTAGGTGGGATGTGGGGGGGCTCTGGGGTGGGAGGTGGGGATTGGGTATTGTGGGGGCTCTAGGGTGGGATGTGGGGGGGCTCGGGCAGTGTGGGGGCTTTAGTGTGGAGGGTGGGGGCTTTGGTGTTGTGGGGGCTTTGGGGTGGGGGGCTCGGGCAGTGGGGGGGCCCTGGGGTGGGAGCTGGGGGTTGGAAAGTGGGGTGGGATGTGGGGGGGCTCTGGGGTGGGAGCTGGGGGGTTGGGAAGTGGGGTGGGATGTGGGGGGGGGCTCTGGGGTGGGAGCTGGGGGGTTGGGAAGTGGGGTGGGATGTGGGGGGGGCTCTGGGGTGGGAGCTGGGGGGTTGGGAAGTGGGGTGGGATGTGGGGGAGGCTCTGGGGTGGGAAGTGGGGTGGGATGTGGGGGTGGCTCTGGGGTGCGATGTTTCTCTTTCATGCCTTTCCCCCCCCCCTCGGGTTGTATTTTGGACAAGGGAGTAGACTGTGTCTCCAAATCAGTCTGTGTCACGTGGGTTTCCTCTTTGCTTTGTCTCTCCTTGTTCCCACCTCTAATTTATTGTCACTGGGCATTTGGGGAGAGTCTGCCTTAGATTTGCACATTTTTCTATGATGAGGTGTCTGCTAGCATGATAATTCTGGGCATGCTTCGGTAGCAGTCTCTCTTGGTTTTGATCTGTTTTAGGCTTTGCTGTAGTGTTTTTAGCATCACTATCTTGTGTGGGGTTATTTGCTCCATTGAACTGGAGATGAATATTGTCTTGTCCAGAACAGGATCGTGATCTAGGAGTGGGTTCTATTTCTTAGCTGATTTTAGCTTTTCCTCCTCTACTACTCTGCTGTGGAGATGTTTATTGTTGTGATTGAGGTGGTGCCAGAAGTTAGTTGAATGTTCTTCTGTGTGTGGACTAGGAGGGAGTTTGTACTGATAATTTGTGCTAGCTGGTGTAGTTACTTGATAAGACAGGGCCCAAACTGTTTCTCCTATATAGCAGGATGAGTTAGATTAAGTTCTCAAGTAACTGGAGTTGTGATTTTATTGGCAAATTGTAATTCTTTAACGGCTTATAAATTCTTCAGAGGGCTTTTTTTCAGACGCTTTTATTGCTGTTGTGAAGTTCCCCAAATGCTTTTATTTTGGAGGCCTAGGTAAGTATAATTTCAATGTATTCTGTTTCTACATTCAGAGTGTTAGCTGGCTGTTTTTTGGAAAGTATATGGGGAGAGATTGGGGTTGTTGGGTGTTTTTTATTGTAGCAATCTGCAGAATAACTCGTGATGGCAGTATATTTCTAAAGCATATTGATTATTATTTGGGTGATAGTATGATTAGATCATCCTTTTATAGAATCATGGTTTTCCTACTGAGTGGGTTAGTGGAAATCCCTGGTTTGATGGCCATTTCAGGAAGGTTGGTACATTCCATAAGAGCTGCCATAATAGGTCAGACAGTCCATCTATCCTAGTATCCTGTCTCCAACGGTTACCCATACTAGAGCTTCTGGGGGAGTGTACAGAACAGGGCAATTATGGAATGATCTGCTCCTCTCTTGCACTGCCGGCTTCTTGCAGTTGGTAACTGGTAAGTATCTGATGTGCAGGGAAAAAGAGTAGGGCTATCTGATTACTGTCTTGACATAGGGCACAAATGTTAAGGATTTTGAACAGAGGTGTCAGGACAGTGTGTTGGAGGATGGGACATCTGGAGGTGTGCTCATATCCCAGGGCAGGACAGAGTCCCAATTGCAATTGGGCTCAAATCTTTCTCTGTTTACAGTAATGGGTTGCCCATTGTTGTCCATCGGTCTTTCAGTGGCATCGTGAGCAGCTGCTGATAATGATAACCAGGCTTGGACATGTTGTCTCTTTAGGCCAGACGTAGCAGAGACAGAAGATACCTACTTCTCTGTTCCAGGCCCCTCTATCCTCAAACATGGCGGGTGGCATTACCGACACAGGGGAGCTGTACTCTCCTTACGTGAGTATTACCATTGGGATGTACCACTGCTGTTAGTTCAGTGTCTTCTCTTCACAACCCTGCTTATTCTCAGGGTATGTTGTTACTTATCTTCCTGGTTCCCGGTGAACACAGTAATCAATGTCAAAGTTGCAAGGAATGCTGGAAGACATTAGGGTAAGGGCAGTAGAACATGTTTAGCTTGTTGCCCAAGAGATCTTGGTTTGAATTACACCACAACAAGGGCCTCTTCAGAGTTTGAAAGGGACCCAAGTATCTAGAGTTTAGTGAGTTAGCTTAGAGAACTTTCATCCTATCTTTGAGACTTTATATGTTAAGTTTGGCTTGGTCCTTTTTTCATCTGTATTTATGGTCAGAAATGTGAATGTGAAAATGGCATCACCTTACTGCCTGTCTCTGGTCCATGTGTCTTTTGAGATGCATCTGTTCACTGATACAAACTAATTTTAAATAATCAGTTATAATGCATAGTATTTGCGTATTGTTTTACATCGCCAGTTACTCTACAAACCTTAAAGGGACACCATCAACCTGATACTTAATCGATTTGAAAAAATGAGTTACAAGTAGTTTGATACTACACTTGCCCTTGAGCCCCCTTGCCCATTTTTATGGTTTTACTTCCACATTTTTAAAACAAGCTTTTCCTTCTCTCCCCTGATCTCATGTGAAAGACTTGCACAAATAGGTGCAGCTGTGTGGGATGCTGAAATTCACTATCTACAAAGCATTGTCAAATATAAAAAGAAAACAAATTGAAAGCTTAAGGGGGCAAACCTTTTTTCCTCTGATCTGTTTGTTAGTCATTTCACATATTAATTGTAACAATGATAAATAAAAACATTCAGACAGAAGTGATTTTTTTCAATGGGATGTCCCAAATGATCAGTCCTCACAGCATCCTTTATGAGGTAGGTAAGTATAATATCCATTTTACAGATGGGGGAACTGAGGCATTGAAGTAAAGTGACAGTCACTACTAGAGGGATTAGAACATCAGGTATTTCTGCCTCTCAGCCTTGTGCTCAGAACACTAGACTTGACTTCTCTTCAACCTGGGCCCTGCAAAGACAATACAGCTCTGTGAGCATAAGCTAGAGTCTATTCTTTCTTATGCATAATCTCAAAATTAGTAGTTAAAATTGGATTTCTTGATGTATTATGGTGATGATATAAATGGCAGAGCATAGCTCAGGAATCTAAAATACGAGTCTGAAGTGTGGGATTTGCTGTATTAACTCCTGCATATTAAAAATGCCTGGCTAGCTTGGGGCACTAGTGACCATTTTAAGATCGGATATTTCATGAACCCACAATGCTAGCATTTAGTTCTGTACACCATTGGGAATGCTGATTTTTTTTATATCTAATGGGGGTTCACAAAATATCAGATAATAAAATTGTCACATATTACTTCCCCATAGCTTCATTTCTGAATCGATCTTAATGGTTATCTCAAGAACCATTAAAGATAGAACGAATGTTTTCCACCACCTGAGATCCAGGAATCTCAGCTTTCAAATGCTAAAAACATTCATCTCGAGTCTAGGAACCCTCAAAAGCTGAGGGTAGAACGGGGCATTATGCTCATAAGAGTATTGGCAGCTAAAAGCAGGCCAGAACTGAAAAGTGAAGGGGGCGGGGCAGCAACACAGTAATCAGAAAAACCTGATTTTAAGCATTTCCTGCCTGATTACAGTTTTTTGATAATTTTTATTGTCTTGTGCTTTTACATAGTTTGTGGTCTTAAGCATTTTCATGTTCAAGAGATTCCAGTTGGCTCAGTTAGGTGGAGAAAATATTATGTGAGAGAATATGAAGTAGTCACTTTTTTTTAACTTCACTAATAGCATGAACATCTCAGACATTGCTAGAATAGGGAATTGGTGCAGAAGTACCTTTTTAAATGTTTTTCTTGAAACTGTTGACATTTTTTCATAGTCAACATTTAAAAAAAAACAAACTACTAATAAAGTAGTTGTCACGCTCACTTTCGAGGTCCAGTATTTTGTGACTTGCCAAGAGCAGAAACACTTTGGTGAACCAGTACTAAAGCTTTCAGGACGTATGTTGAGAAGGAAATCTGCTCTCTTCTTAATGGGTTTTGATTTCTTTATTTTAAGTGAATTTCCAGTACTGACATTAGCAAAATCATCTTTTGACTAGTATGCCAGCCCAATTTGATCTTCCCCATGGAGGGGGAATATGGAATCCTGGGATGTTTTTAGTTGCTTTTCTGACTGCATGCATAGTTCAAAATATTAGTGTTGCAGAAATTCCTGGAGTCTGAGTTCTAGGGAACTGTAGCTATCTCATTTCCTCTGAGGATGCTGGGCTATCTCTACCCCAGAGTCTGAGGACAGTAACATGATGCCAGTCTTGGCATCTGTTCAACCAAATCCAAGAAAAATCATCTGGGTTTCTGTCCAAGTCCTTCATTGCAAAGTGAGTCAGGCCCCTGGGCACTCTGAACACAAGGGGAAGTAAGCGGGAAATGGGAGCCTGCCAACTGAGTGACATGAGCCTCTCTGCAAACCGGAAGGCTGCATTTTAGTCCTTTGGGGGATCAGCTGATGTTCATGTTTGAACAGCGAAAAGGTATAGTGTCTCGTTGTGAGCTTAACAAAAAAGACTTTGCGTTGTGTTTTGTATGATGTCTCCAAGCTTGGCTCCTATGATCTCTGGCCACGCCAAGCACTATATGTGGGTTTCTCCCTCGTTTACACAAAAATTCTCATGGTTTATAAGGAAGTGGGGAGACTCTCAGGGTGTGTCCCATACCATGTTTGCATTAAGAATGGGAGGGCAAAGTCTCCTCCCTTTGCTCAGTCTTCACCTTCTTCCTTTAGCACAGCAGGTGGGGTCTGTTTCTTTTCCACCATTTGCATTGTGGTGACCCTAAGCACTACATGTGACTGAAGTGGGGACAATTTAGAACAGAAACAGTGAAACAGGAAATGGGATAGACCAGTCCTTGTACAGTGGAAGGAAGTAGGTTGTGGAGGAATTGCCCACCATTTCTACGATCCCTGCTCAGTGTCTCAGAGGAAAAAGGCAGAACTCCTCAGTCATGCAGCATGGAGGAAAATTATTTCCTTGCCTTCAATCTGGCAGTCACTTTGACCAGTTTACAACTCTCAGGGCTTGTCTACATTAAACCAATGCAAATCCCTGTGTGAACGCCCTTACATTGATTTAAGACAGGTTAAATCAATTGAAGGATATTCACACACAAAGTTTCACCATTTTAACTAAATCAGTTTAAAATTGCATCTTTAGTTAAACCAGTGCAACTTTGTGTTTAGATTAGGCCTCAGCTGCACTTTGATTAAAACTGCTTGTGATAAAGGAATAGCTTGATTCTGAGGAAACATGAGTGGACCACATCATGACACAGTCCATTCTCTCTTGTTGCAAAGGGCCCCTCTGTCTCTGCGCTTCCAAGCACAAAGATGCTGAGTGAGAGAATTATGTGCACCAAGCTGAGGGCTTCCAACCACAAATATTGTTCAACAGTATAGGTCACAAGATGCTTGGAGGCCAGTCTCCTTTGGTCAGCAGATCTGGTTTTGCTGGCTCAGCCATACTTTACAAAGAATGGTGGTAGGACAATGGAAGTGGAAAGTGTCTAGTGCTTGAGGTTATTTCAGCTCCAGACCTTCAGTTTCAGGTTAAACACTGACTTCACTAGGGCAGCCTGTGTGTAGTGATGGTGCCTCTTGCATTTATGCTCGTCAGCAAAGATTTAATCCCTGGAGCCTGACTCTCCCCAGGGTGGCTGGAAGGTGCCTTCTCTCCCTAGCTGTTGATAGGAATTTACTGCCTGAATAACGAATTTCCTTTAATTTAAAAAATAAAATAATGAAATGAATTTCATGAAAATCAGGTAGGATCATTCTGGCCTCAACCAGGCATAGTGCAGGCAGGAGTGCAGGCAGGAGTGCAGACTTCTATTGTCTATTAAATAGACTTCAGATGTCTATTAAAGATTCCATTGATTTTTTCTTTTCTTTTTTTTTTTTTTAACATTCCATAAATTGTAAATAGAACAAATCTGGCGGGGAACATCAATCCTGACCTGTGCTGTGCTAGTGCACTAATCCACTGCACAACCTTTCTGACTCTGAGTGTTCCCCTCCACTTGTATGTACTTTTACCTTGTGCTTATCCTTCCTAGACATGCATACAGATCACATTCCCCACACACAACCTGCCATGTCAGTGAGTTATCTTAGCTGATCCCCAGGGCTGCTGCATTATCTAATGCTGATTATCTGGATGATTGCAGGTTGGCCTGGTTTACATGTTCAACCTTATCGTTGGGACAGGAGCCCTAACCATGCCGAAGGCCTTTGCTACCGCTGGCTGGCTCGTCAGCCTCATTCTCATAATGTTCCTGGGCTTCATGAGGTAGGATTTTGGTGTCTCTCTTTGCCTGTCTTCAGCATGCTGGGAGTGTGGCTTGGTTTTATTCTAAGGGCTACATGTAAGAAATTGGGGGCAGCATGCTGGTGAGAAGCCCAGCCGCTCTGCCACCCAGCTGCTGGGATTTCACAATTGTGCTGCACCTGGATCCTGTTTAGAGGCTGTAGTTTTAATATCAACTTTCTGGCTAATGGATGTCTGCAATGTGGAGCTACATCTCCTCTAGCTGGTAGAAGGGAGTGTACTTTGTCTCCACTGCCCACTCTAGAGCCTTCTGGCTGCTGCATGGCAGAGGGTCTTCGTAAAGTTTAAGGCCAGAAGGGACCACCAGATCATCTGTTCTGACCTCCTGTGTATCACTGGCCACCAATGCCACCCAGCACTCGCATTCTAAACCCAGCCATTTAAATTAGATGGCAGCATTACAGCCCATGGGAGACTAGTCTGTTATGTGCTACAGGCAGAGACAAGGAAAGACTGAGGTGCAGTAGTGTCCAACCTCTTTCCCCCTCCACCAGGCAGGAAAATGATGATCCTGGCAAGTGACACACACCCACATACTGCAGAGGAAAGTGGAAAAACCTCCAAGCTCACTGCCAATCTGACTGGGGGAAAATACCTCCCCAGCCCCACATATGGCAATCAGTTAGACCTGAGCATTTGAGCAGGAACCAGTCAGCCAAAGTACCTGAGAGAGAGAATGCTCCATGTCACATCAGAGCTCTGGCCCGCTACACCCAATCTCCCATCTCCAGCCATGGCTATCCCTGAGGCTTCCAGAATATGTTGGGCAGGGAAACCCCCTCCAGACCCCTGCAGGTGGCCAGCTGAAACCTTGAAGCATGAGCTTCACTACTGTACCCTTCCACCAGCCTCTGTTTTTTGGGGTCGTCCTCCTCCCCCAGGGATAACTCCAATGCTTGTCTCTTTGCTAGTGATATCTTTCCCAGTCACCAGTAGCAACAAAAAGTTGATGTGATTCCTGACAATTTCACTTCTGCTGACTGCATTTTGAATGGTGGTCGTGAAACTGACCTGTCATGTCAATTTCACTCTGGCTCCTAGCAGGGTTCTGAGCAAGGGGCACTGGATCTCTGTCTGCCTGCAGATTTGGGGAGGCAGCTCTGCACTGACTTACATTTGGAAGGGTAACTTCACAGTCTTTCTCACCCGTGCTCAACAGGGAAGGCTACTTATTCACCACAGACAAACGGAATTTTCAAATGTTGCTCCTTCTGCAGAATCAGCATGTTCTGGCTCTAGAACTGAACTGAATCTGGACTGGATTGACTCGGATTATAAATTCCATATATGTCAATCCCTTCTGTGTAGGGACCATAACCTTTTAGGTATGTTGCAGTGAGAAGACATTAGAATAATTAAAAGATCACCTGAGTCCTTCAAACCCATCTGCCCCATGGCTGTTCTTGGACACGAGCAATTTAAGCTGATGCCTGAATAGAGCTGCAGAGGAGCGCAGTTTGGTAGTGATTCAGCAACTCACAGATGATGTAATCTCCCATCTGCTACCAGAAGTATAGGAGGAAGTAACTTCCTGTAAAACTATGCCTGCCTCATTCTTCCCCTTCACCAGTCTGGGATCTTGGAAACCCTGAGGCTAACTTGAAGCTGACCAGACTTCAGCTTGGTTTCCTCTGCACTGGTGCAGCAGTTGCAGCCCTGGAGGTGGAGCTAAGGGCTGTTGCTATAGTTGTGTGATCTACACATTCAGCCTGGAGACTCCAGTAGTTGATGGTGTCATCTTTCTGGTGAGATGTGAAGCCTTGTCTGGATCACTGGTGCTCATGAAAAAGGTCCCCTCTCACTTTTGTAAGAGTATTGGGATTTTAATCCTGGTATCCTGGCCAAATTCTGTTATGGGTACCCCCATTTGCCAATCTAAATTCCTTCTGCAGTTTTGATTGGATACAACTTTTTCCTGTCCTGTACTGTTTGGCTATTAAACAGAGTCCATGTTTCACTCAAGAGGAAACTGCATTTCAGTGGTGAATGAAATCATTTTTGTAAACCCCAGGTGTGTTGAGGCTTAATATTTGTAAACTGCAATAAATCTGTGAAAGAAACGCTCTATAAAAGTCTGGTTAATTATTATTGACAGACATAAATTCTGGAAGTACGAGTGACTGTTGGATTTAGATGCAATCCATTTTTAAATACCTTATTTCCAAATCATGAAGCCCATGTACGGAGCTCCCTACCGTCTGCTCTGGTTCTTCCTCAGTTTATATCTTAGTGCCAGCAGGAGGTGCAAATCTTGCTGGCTCGTCCATGATGCTCTTGTGCCAAACTTGAAATGTCGCGCACTGGTGCTAAGTGCTTTGTGAGCGTAGTTGCCCTGTTGCTCTCATTCCTGTGTTTGCGCTTCTAACTCCCTAATAACCTCTAGAGAACTTTCAGTGCAGTGAGAGTCTACATGGACAATCATTATGTGGCGTCCAGGAGGGGGCTGCTGTACGTTTATCCTAGCAAACCTAATTTCTCATTTGAACTTGATAAATGAATTCAGTTTGTGAAGCCGTAAAACTGTTTTTGAACCTTAAATAAGATTGATTTTAGTTTTACTTTAAAAAAAAAAAAAAAGCAGTAGAGGGGAAAGAAACCTTAAAATGGTCATTTAGCTGAGATAATGACAGTCCGTTCCTGAAAGTGTCAAAGCAGATTGTAGTGGTGAACTGGGACCTCGGATGGGTGAGTGATTCTAGCCGTCTCCTTGGCATTGGGTTAAAAAAAAGTTCCCTCTCGTTATTTAACTCCTTAGACGGCTTCTTCTACAGTCACTGGCAAAATTGGTGGTGTACGTCCTAATTTGCTTGCTGCTCTGAAATCTACAACAATAATAAACCATTGCCCTTCAGTAACACCTTCCTTCTGAGGGTCTCGCAGTGTTTTACAGCTACCAAAAGATTAAGCCTCACAACAGTACTGTGAGGACAGGGAGTATGCATTATTCCCACTTTACAGATGGGGAAACTGACTCAGGATTACAAACCCTACCATACAATGCTCCATCTTCTTCTAAGAAGCCTACCCCCGTTGCAGTGAGGTAGCATGTAATCTGTGGGCCACACCTGTACTGGAGATATAGGCAGATGCCTGCTCCGTTTGTGCAAATTAGTTGCAGGCTTCATGCTCCTGACAAATTTCCTGTGTGTTTTTGGTTGATCAAAGTTTGCGCACCTCTGACATAGTCCTAGAAATAAGAGGCTCCTTTTATTTACTGATATTTGCACCTAACTGTGGTTTTATTGTGATGTTTTAACATGTTTTTACACAAGCATTTTGGTTGAGACTAATGGGTCTACCAGGCCCAAATGCTTAAACAAAAATAATTACAAACAGCAAATGAGATCTTCTCATGGATGTGATAATATAACATGAAGCAACCATAGCTGTCTCCAGGTTTTTAGTTTACAAAAAAAACAACATATTCTTGCCTGTTTCTACTCTTACGAAACAGTAATAAGGAAGTACTCTTATGAATATTTTACATCTTTCTGGTGCCTTACATCCCAAATTGCATCATACTGTGTGCCTACACAGCACAACTGAAATGAAACCGTCTCTGGGTTGAAGGACAGCAGCAAACTGAGGTAGAACTCCCTGTACAAAAAGAGAAAGAGGGGAATGCTGGTGAAGGGTGCTGGGACAAACCCCTACCCTTACAAAACATGCTAGGAGATCTTTAGAGGCTACACGTAACTGATAGGACTCTGGTTTATAAGGTCTCACCGTAAAGACCCTTCACACAGTGAACTACACAATACTTCATTCATCTGAGTCATAAAGGCAAAGGACTGGGTCAGCCCTGTCAGGATTCAATCCTGCCTGTGGATCTAAGGAGTCCAAAACTTCCAAACTTTGATGCTTAGGGCTCTGTGCCATTGTTTTCACTAATGCGTGAGAACTTCTAGGTTATGAGATTTGAGTTGTTAAACTCTGTCTCAGTCCAGCTCTTAGCAGAACAGCATCCCAGTTGACACCCCTGGGGCAATCTCATCAGAGTCCCAGGACTGAATGCACCGCAGAGACCCTTGCCTCTAAATACGGTCCCAGGTACTAGCAGGATAGTGCAGAATCTTGCTTTGCAGCTGTCTGCATTGTTCTCTGTTCCATACAAAAGATGCTTCATTCCCCAGAGCTGTCAGTCCAGCATCTCACCAACACTGACTTCACATAAGAAATGTAAGAATCCCCAAACCCTAGAAAATCGCCTCTGCACTGCTTCATTCTTGATTCGGCAACAGCGTGGAGGCTGCAGCACGTACCAGAGCTATGAAGAGCCTGTCTCCCTCGGAAAGCCCAGTCAAAGTAATTTGCAGTGATCTATTCTGCTGTCCTTGTTAGCTATTAGTAATTGCTAAATTTAATTTCCCGTCTAGTTACATGACTACAACGTTTGTGATGGAGGCCATGGCCGCTGCTAACGCCCAGCTGCGTTGGAAGAGAATGGAAAAGCACAAGGTTTGTGTCGTGGCTTTTTATTTTCCAATCTCTATCATTCTTCAGTCCCTAAAAGCTCTCCTCAGTTTACTGTTCTGGCTCTGCCTCCCCTCATTAGTAAGTCTAATAAAGGAATAAATTTCCACTGTACTTAACGTCTTCATATAAAATGTGGTCATTCTCTGTGGTATTGCTCATAAAACCCAGGATTTTCTTTTCCTGCTTTAAAAATCCCCGACCCTGCCCATGTGTCTCCCAATTTCATGCTGCTGGTTTTGGCCTGAGATGCTCTTTAGAGGAGTTGGGGAGAGCAATCCATCATTCAAGGTGTGTTAAGATCTATAAATCCTTAAATTATGTGAGATCCAGCCACTGCAGGGCACTGTTGATCTAGCTGGAATGCTCTTGTTATCAGTCATTGGAGTCTTATCCCAGGGACTCCTGCTGGGCATTCTCTCTGGCCTCTGTCCTGACTGTAGAATTTACTCCTTTGCTGGGTTTGTCAGCTCCTGGATTTAGTGACCTTCATGATGCAGTACAAGGCATAATTTTTTGGTCAGACTTTAATCGTGATCAGTAGGAAGGTGGGGTGGAGTTGTGGAGTGGGTTTTCCTGCTCTGCCTAGTTAGGGAAATGCAAAGGTTTGGGTTTTTAAGGAAATGTAATCTGGTGCCCACACTGTGCATCTGGACACCAAATCTACAAACTCATTGCATCAAGCTTGCTAGTGTCTTTATGATTTTACTGAATGGACATTCTGCTCTTGTGTATATGTCCCACACGAAAAGAGAGTAGCTCACTTTGTCATTAACCTCCTAATGCCCTGCCAGTGTTGTCCTCCTTCCCGAGAGTGCCCTCCCCACATTCCAAGACCAGAAAATATGGTTCCCTGCCATCTCCCCATGTGCTCACTGGTCTGTACCTTCCAGTCCCCCTCTCTTTTTCACCATGAGCACATGGAACTGAGGCTTTTTCATTGGGTTGTTTCTACCTCCTTGTACTGTTGCCACAAGCTGTGCCTCGGGTAGCACACATCACAGAGCAGAACCTGGGCAGCTGCACTTATTTTCCTACCTTCTAGGAAGATGACGATGAAGATTCTTCCTCTGGGGTCTCTGATAGTGATATTCTCCTCCCAGATGGCTATGAACGATCAGAGACACGGCCTATCCTGTCAGTTCGTAAGTATCCAACTTTTGCTGCTACTTGCTCTCTAATAGGGAACGAAAGGCTTTTCCCACTTCTGTGGGAACCAAACCCTTTACAACTGTCCTCTTGTAAGTAGAGTAAGACTTTTCTCCTCCACCTTTCACCCTGAGGGCTTGTCTACACTTGAAAGTTAATTTGGATTGAGATAGGGTATGAATTTAAAGCACCATAGCCATTCCTGAATAGCTCCATGAAAATGGATTAAGCTAAACAGGAACAAGACATTCTTAATCTATAATAAGAGTATCCACTCATAGAGTTATTAAAGAACAGTTATTTTGGAATAGACAAGCCCTTAGTGACAGATGAATTCCACATGCCCACATCTCACGAGCTCTCTTCTAGTTCATGCCATTATGGCTTTCAAGATGGACTAATGGATGAAGCTAGTTTTACTCTGTTGCTTCCAAACAGAAGAGGCTTTTTCTTTCCCCTTTTACCTAGAACAATTCCATCTGGTCACCGAGGCATAAATGGCTTCCTCTGAAAAGCTATAAATGGTGTGGGGACTGCATGGCAGGGGGTGTATGTATCCTGGATGGTGTTACCAGGATAGGTGGGATGTCCCCAGATGCTGCCTGTCCTTCCTTTGGGCTAATCAAGAAGAGTGAGTGGAACTTTCTTGTTTCCAACTTGCAGAGAGACGTGGCTCACCCAATATCTTTGAAATCACTGAGAGGGTGGAGATGGGTCAGATGGCCTCTATGTTCTTCAATAAAGGTAACTATCTCACTTTCTCAAGGGTTCCCAAAGATCTTCCTGAATAGGGTAGTAGGTGTCGTTGTTCCTTAAACCTGGGCACTTGTAACGTGGTGGTGGAAGCAGCTGCTGCTGTGAATTCTGGGTTCCCTCTAAACCTCCTGATTCTGAGGACTTGACAGTCCCAGCCAAACATGCCCCCATCCCCAAACACCTTTTTGTAGGATTTTTGTTACTGACTGTCCTCCACCGCAGTTGCAGAGAATGCGATGTTATGGACTCATTTCCAACCCAGCCAAGGGAACTACGCCAGAATCTAGGTCAGGGAAGGCAGAGGGGCTGTAGTAGGTTTAGCCAAAAAAGTCCTGAAGCAAAATGGGCAGATTTCCCTTAGCACATGAGTATAAAGATTGTAGGAGTAACACTTGCTTCTGCCCAGCATGACTGCTCTGACCCTGACTCTCCATGCATTGAGTGCTCACCTCCTCTCTCTGTATCCTCTGTAAACGTGGTCCACAGCAGCAGAGCCAGGAATTGTGCTGCTCTCACCTTCCTGACACTGTTAAGATGCAGCACACCAAACATTTCCATAATCAGTTAGCTTCAGTCTGAAGGAAGGAGGTCAGTGAGGAGCATTTCTGAGAGCACTTGACTGTGGCTGGGTAAGTGACCTCTAGGGCTTCTCTAATCCTGAGCTTCAGTCTGAATGGGTCCCCTGTGCACACCTGATGGATGCAGGCATCTTGTCTTTGTATTAAATGTGTTTTCTGTCATACAATAAAAAACATCTATAACAAGAATGAAATAAGAAAACCCTACAAAGGTAGCTGCAATATAAAGCTATATTAATCTCACATTATAGAGATACAAGCCATAGACAACGAGAGAGATGACACTCAGAGCATAGTGTGTTAGTAAAGAAATCCCATGTTTTCTGTCTCTGCAATCAGACACATGCCATGGTGTTCAGTTTTGGTCTCTTGCAGTCAAATGTCTTGTGAATGGCATGTTCCTTTGTTCACCGGTATTTTTCTTAGCACACAGTGGGCTGCCTTTTCCACGGCATTACACCAGTTTTATGCTAATGTAACTCCATTGCGTTCCATGGAGAATCAGGATCCGGGGTGGGGAACGTTTTCAAAAGCACCAGTGTCATTTGCAAGCACAAGTCTCACTGAAAGTGCATGGGAATCCTTTCAGCAGGTCTTGTGCTCCTAGCTCACTTAGCTATTTTGACATTCCCACTTTAGAGCTCTAAGTGCCCCCACTCTAATGGTGGCGGAGGAGCAGTGTGGTCTCAGCCTAGGCCTGGAGCTTCTAGTCCCAGCTCTGATACTGATTTGCTGCACCTTGGGGCAAGTCTCTTCGCTTGTGGCTGTTTCCCTATCTGCAAAACAAGGCTATTACTTACCTACCTCACAGTAGTTGTCTGGGGATTAATATTTGTAAAGCACTTTGAAGATGAAGAATGCTGTGTAAGTGTTGCCTAGCAATACTGTTTTGGATCCTTGTCTATATTGGCAGGTGTAGCCTGCTAGATTAAGGGGATGTTGCAGAAAGGGGGCAACAGGTCAGCCAGTGCATGCACAAATTTCAAATCGCTAGCAAAACCTCTTCAAGTGAATTGGAGAGGAAATGGTGGTGACTACAATACCTAGTACTGGAGAGTGGGGTTTATAAGGGAGACTATGTTCTAGGAGGCTGCAGCTGATCTCAAGCTTTAATCATTGATGTTAGAGGCAATGTCTCCCAGTAGAGGGTGCTGGGAGTACATGTGCTTCTCTTCTAACCCGAGTAAGAAAAACTACATGTAAATTTCCTCACAATACTGTATTACTTGCCTAATACTTTACATTTAATCCCCCATCTTAAAGTTTTATTTTTAGTTTGAGTTATCAGAGTTAGATGCTAGGGATCCCCTTCCAGAAATATTTAGGGTCCTGATGATGATGGGATGAGAGCTCTTTCAGGAAGTCAGGTGGTGCTGCCATGGAACACAGCATGAAAACACTGTGACTTCCAGATAAGACAGGAGATCGACCTAGTTAGCTGTTCCGGGGGGAGCTGTGACTCGGGTACAGAGAAGGGCTACTAGGATGATCTGAGGAATGGAAAACTTGTCTTATGAAAGGAGACTCAAGGAGCTTGGCTTGTTTAGCCTAACTAAAAGAAGGTTAAGGGGAGATATATGATTGTTCTCTATAAATATATCAGAGGGATAAATACCGGAGAGGGAGAGGAATTATTTAAGCTCAGTACCAATGTGAGAACAAGAACAAATAGATATAAACTGGCCACCAGGAAGTTTAGACTTGAAATTAGACGAAGGTTTCTAACCATCAGAGGAGTGAAGTTTTGGAATAGCCTTCTAAGGGAAACAGTGGGGGCAAAAGATCTATCTGGCTTTAAGATTAAACTCGATAAGTTTATGGAGGAGATGGTATGATGGGATAACATGGTTTTGGTAATTAAATATTCATGGTAAATAGGCCTAATGGCCTGTGATGGGATGTTAGATGGGGTGGGATGTGAGTTACCCAGGAAAGAATTTTCTGTAGTATCTGGCTGGTGAATCTTGCCCATATGCTCAGGGTTTAGCTGATCGCCATATTTGGGGTTGGGAAGGAATTTTCCTCCAGAGCAGATTGGAAGAGGTCCTGGAGGTTTTTCGCCTTCCTCTGTAGCATGGGGCACGGGTCACTAGCTGGAGGATTCTCTGCTCCTTGAAGTCTTTAAACCATGATTTGAGGACTTCAATAGCTCAGGCATAGGTGAGAGGTTTTTTGCAGGAGTGGTGGGTGAAATTCTGTGGCCTGCGTTGTGCAGGAGGTCAGACTAGATGATCATAATGGTCCCTTCTGACCTTAGTATCTATGAATCTATTTGCTGCTTTCCCTCCCTGGTCAGAAGTAATAGCCTGGTCTTTACTATTGCTCAGCTCCCGTTCAAAGGTGCCCCACTGTTTTTGCTACAAAAGCTCAAACCTAAGAGATCAGAGAAGAGCCAAGTTAAACATGCCTCTCTGTAGACTGTCATAGCACACCAGTCATTTGAAAGGCTCCACAGAGATCAAAGGGCCCTGAATGAGGGGGTTGTGCAGTGATCAGTTGGATATTGGTTAGGGAATGAGAAATCTACGCTGTCAGAAGCTGGAGTTTGAAAATACTAGCTCAAAGCATTAGCCTCCGCGATTGTACCATTAGCAACTGTCTCTGATGTTTGCTTGGATCAAGATGCTGTGTAGCACAGGCAGACATGAGGTGTCGGGGGGCTCTATGGCCATTGGAGAGAAGGGGGGAGGGGGGCTTTGTCACAGATTCCTACCAATGAGACTCATTGGCCTGTTAAAAGGAAAAACCCTGTTGTTGCTAATGAGCTCTCTGCTCATTTCCCTTGACTGGTTTAACAATCTGACGGGATGTGAATCTGCAAATCTCGGAGTTAAGCTGGAGATAAATCTTCCACCTCTGATTCTTCATCTGTTTTCTGAATGGTGCTGACTTGTTTGGGCTGCAAGGAAAAATAAAGGGCCCCCACCAATTTCTTTTTAAAGGAGCCTGCTCTGAAGCATGTCTCTCTCTGGTCACAATGTTGAGCTCTCTCTGCCAGGGATCGGGTGTCATTTATCATAATAATGGATTCTGTGCACATTCATCATTCTCCGTCCTCACAGGAAGTCATTGATCTTCCCGTTTTGTGTCCAGTAATGAAAGTATTGATCAGGGAGGGTTGGTGGCAGTTTATAAACAGAACTGACACTGAAGTCCACCTGCAGTCAGAGAAGATGGGGGAACCTCTTGCCTGTACTTCACTGATTAGAAAGTCAAGCTGGGAACGCTGCATGTTCTTTGAGCTGAGCTGCCTGAGTGCAACACAGAGCACCAAAAGGAACAAAGGATGGTGCCTGCTTGCATCCCAGAGATCAGCAAGTCAGACTTTTAAGGATCTGGGGTTTCAAGTTCACCAACTTCTTAACGCTTTATTCCCATACGTTTCTTGAACTAAGTACAAAGACTACATAAAAGCTACTGCATGGGCAGTCATCAGAGGCGGGAGCTGGCACTTCCTCCACTAGGACAGTTACACTGGATGCAAACTGAATGGGGAAGAAGTGGAGGGATTACTAGGAAAATCAGACTTTGAGCCCTAACCTTCTCTTTACATTTTAAAGACTCATTTCAACACAAAGGGTGGAAAACTGATCTTTAAAAACTCAGATCTTGGAATAGCAGCTCTGTCTAAAGGGTTAACTATTTTTTTTTAACTGTCCTTCCCCCTGCTCCTGGAATCTGATGGTTTTCAAAGTTGCACGGTGACTATCCCTATGTGACCATCTTAAAAATACCCCAAGGCACTAGTTCTCGGTGAGGACAACGGGGCAAAAAAACAAAAATAAATTGGGAGTTTCTAGAATTAGTGGTCTGACCCTTTTTCAGAGGGACTGAGCACCTGCAGTTCCCCTTTACTAAATATGACATTGGGAGGGGGGGAGGAGAGAGACTTTTCCAAGAGAAGGACCTCATTTTTCAAACTTTGCCAAAAGAAAAACTAACCTCCTGTAGCTACAGAACATGTATGAGAAACAGCTTTTTAAGGAAGTTAGAAGAGAAGGTCAAGATTGGGTTTATAATGAAAAGCTGGTTGGAGGTTGATTCTGTGGCTCTGTAATATGGACATAATCTCAGCACCAGTGTATCTCAGGCAGATCATCAAGATACACGCCCCCCCCCCCTTTCTTCCAGTCCCTCCCCTTCAGTTCTCCCATATATATCTTGAGAGAGTCTGACATTCTCCTATAGCTGAATGTCACCTCAGCTCTGAGAGGTACCATCTTGGAGGATCCAGTGATAGGGGAATTTTTAAACTTGGGTAGGGGATGCTGGTGCTGTAACGATAATATAGAGACCATATTTCGATTTCTTTTGGCAGAGAAGGTGCCTTGCTGCTTTCCAAACAGGAGGTCATTAATCAAGTGAGCCACAAAACCTAGAATATTTGGTTTAGAGGGAGAAAGAGAAACAATGTACAGAATGTAGCATCCAAATACCACAGTGATGAGTGCAGTAGAATTACCTAAATGTATGGTAGAGCTGCTAATCTACAAAGCCTTGTATGAGCATTAATCCTCCCTCCTGCAAGTAGTCAGTGGTGCTAGCCTCATTTACAGATAGCGTATGTGAGACAGTGAAGTAAAGTGACTTGCCTAAGCCACGGGGAGTTAGCATTCCCGGGGATTTGAACTCAAGTTCATCATTCCCAGTCCTGTGCACAGACTTGTCAAAACATTGTGTTCTCCTCATGCTCTTCTCTTCTAATGCTTGCTGCTTTCTTTTTTTCCTGCTAAAGTGAAACAGTTGCATGCTTTTTCATGGCTCACTTGCCTTTGAAATTAAAATCTGTTGAGATTCACTTTGTATTGTTTAGACTGGCTCCACTTCTTCAAAGTTGGGTCAGTGTAATTTGGCATCTCTTTATCCTCATTGGCTTCAGCTCACGACAGCAGAGTTTCTTGTTTGTGCCCCATTAAGATTTTTTTGTGCATAAAACTAGCTTTGTTGCAGAGGTTCTCTATTTCATCTTCCTCCTTCCGGCTGAATGCAGAACGGGTAAAACCTGGTTGTGATGAAGGGCTTTGTGAGCAGGGGAGAATGTGTGAAACTTTTGTAAAACTCAGATTTAACATCAAAAGTGCTGCAGAATTAGTTTTCACGCTCCACAGGGTTGAAACTAAGCTCAAAGTTTATAAACTCGGCAGGAGCCTTCCAAAGAAGCTTAGCTTCAGCCCTGCAGAACTTGGGAGCTCTGCATGACTAAAACCTCATGGTTAAGCTCTTGAGGAGTTCAGGAGCTTTGTAGGTGTAGAGCTTCAAGTCGGGGCAATGCTAAAGGACCATTCTGCAATGAGTAGGTATTCAGAGTATTCCATGCCTTCAGTCTTCTTTAAACTACCTCAATGCTGTGTTGCATCCCAGGGGTGTGACTCAATGCATTTCAACTTCACCAGTCCCTTGGCACGTCTCATTTTCAAGTGAGACAATTTCCACACAGGAATTGTGCCATTGGCACTAGTGAATAAGTTTATTTAAAGAGTGAGAGAGAATGAAGAGAGAACTGAATGGGCTTGCATGTTCTTACCTGAATAGGGCACCTTTTACCTTCAGGTTGCTAGCTTATATCTGTCCCATGTCAGAGGGCCTTCACCACCTGACATGTAGCTTATGTGAAAGGAGTTGGTTGTATTCAGTCCACTTTCTAGTAAGCGGATGTCCATGGCACCAGAGCCATCATCACAATTGTCACTGTTCTCCCTTGTGGGCCATCTTAGTGAAGAGGCCAGGGATTTAATGAGTCAGAGGTAAACTTTGATTCTTGACAGGGCTTTGGGAGGAAGCTTGTATTACTTCTGCCTATGCTGTACATCTCCTGTGGGCAGAAGATTCCAGCCTCCAATACAGCTAGCTTGGCACCTCTCACCTGCATGCAATTTATCACCAAATAAATACATAAATTGATGGAGGAAATAAAATAATAATAAAACCCCCTGGCAAGGAGGTGATGTGAACCACTGACTCCTTTAGGAGCAGAGTTCAAGGACCCACCTGGCCCTAGCCCTCCTATTAATGCGTTTCCTTTTCTTACAGTGGGGGTCAACTTGTTTTACTTCTGTATAATCGTCTACCTCTATGGGGACCTAGCGATCTACGCAGCTGCTGTGCCAGTCTCGCTCATGCAGGTGACCTGGTGAGTGATGGCAGTTCTTTGTAAGCCCAGGAATCTAGTGCACTGACAACAGAGGATGGAACAGATCCTTTTGCATTTGGGTGCTTCTGCGATGGAGGGCTAACGAATATTCAGTGGACCTGGTTTTGCCCTTGACTTCTGGAAGCCAGAGAGGGAGATGACCCAAGAACAGGTCATCGGTGTTTACAGATGGGGTAGTGAGGTTGGACGCCTCCTTTACTGGAGACGGCTAAGCTGGCATTAATTGACTGGAGAGTCACGTGACCTGACTTAGATTCAACTTTGGGGCCAGACCTAAGTCCTACTTACCCACGTGGTTAATGCATCAGTGGCTGCACCAGTGTGAACTCATTATTGTGTTTCCTTGTTATTGAAGGACCATTCCCAGGAGTGATCCTTAATAAGTTCTTGACCTGTCGGTTGAGGTGGCCATCTAGGCTGAGATTTGAGTCCTTTTGTGATATGGATAGGTGTCCATTAAGAATTAGACTGAGACCAGTTCCTTCCTCATAAGTAACAGTAACTATCAGAGAAGAATGACATTTGTTCAAGTTCGCTCTGGGCTCAATTTGAAATAGTGTCCTAGAGGTGCAAGTCTCTATATCCCACTATTAGTAACTTCAACCATCTAGTCCCATCACCTGCATTTTCAAATAATTGTGAAGAGCCCAAGAATCTATCTATGGTTACATAATTCAGAGTGATTTATGTTTTCTGGGGCCTGTGATAAAGCAGCAAGATCAGGGGAAAGTCTCTGCATGTCTCTGTCTCCACCATGCCCCATTCTCTTTCTCTGGAGGAGAGAGGAAGACGCAATTAGTGTATTCAGAGGGATGTTAATTACTGTTTTGCTTTTGTTTCTCTCTTCCCCCTCCCCCTGACTGCATTCTCAGTCGCGTAACTGGCAATCACTCCTGCGGTGTTGGAGATGGCACGAAGTATAACGATACAGACAAGTGCTGGGGGCCAATCAGGCGGATTGATGCTTACAGACTCTATCTGGTGAGTGCTCAGAACTGGATGACTGGTGTGGTCCGTATATCATATTTGGTCTGAAATGATGTACACAGGTTTCTATGGCATAATGTGTTCAGATGAACAGCCAAGGTATGGAATTCTGACTTCAGCCCTGTCTGATTTGCTGAAAGCTCTAACTGCAGGCTTGATAGCCTGACTACATTATAGTTTGGCTAACCACATTGTGCTAAGCGAAATTTCCCCTGCATTCTCTTTAGTATACAGTATTCTTCACTTTCCGTCCTACATGCTGTCTATCTCAGTACTGTTTAAACAGCTGTTGCAATCCAGAAGTGGCTGCACTTCAGTGCTTGGTGAAGTGATTCTGACTTTATATAGAGGTCTTAAAGTTTAATGCAAAGCTGTATATGAGTGTTAGATCTGTTCCTATATTGCAACAACTTTTGTGTGTCTTTAAAATCTTCTGTGTGTGAAATATTGTAGTTTTATACAAACTTCTGCTTTTTGAGGGGGAACATGTCACCATACATTGTTCTGTTTCTGTTGTTGTACCATTTCAGTAGCATGGCTGGCTAGTTTAGGATTTTCTAGCCCATCACTGCAGTATCAAATTGTTGTGGCTCTGTTGCATGGCAGAATCAAACTCTCTTTGACTTCAGTAGGAGTTAAACACGAAGACAGAAACCATTGTCTGGGGTAAGAAGTGGGGAGAAGGAGGTGAAGAGCTTTAATAGCTTTGAAAGTAAAAGCAGCCTGAATCTCAGACCTGCTGGAACTTTAGCTGGGGGTTTAAATAGAAACCGGTATGGAAAAGAGAGGGAGGAAGGATGCATCAGATCATCAGTGCCAGCAGGTAAACCCAGGGGTAGGAGTAAATGTAAGCAATGCTTTCAGTTGCCATCCTAAGGAGAGTGTGGTGGCTGGATCACATGCCTGAGCACTCCTCACTATTGCAATAATAACACTGGAACAGGAGCTAGATCTCAGGAATATTAGTAAATGTCACAGCCTGGTTAATTATTTAAAAGAAATATTATTGCTTTATTAAATTGCATCTTGGCCTATTTCTTTGAAAACCTACATGATTGAGGATTTTCTCTCTGAATTTCAATAACTCTTTGACCGAACAGAAGGCACTTGTCAGGAAAGGCAGAAATGCATTAATTACTAACTGTGTCTCCCAGATATTACACCTATAACTCATAAAGATAATTGAAAAATTAAAAAAACCCAAACAAACAAAAACGTTACTTGCTGCTGTCTCTGTGGGCAACTTTCATGAACTTTATTCCCCCGGCTTGTCTTTGTTTAGCTTTGAAGGTTACTTTATCCTCTAATGTCTGTGGCAGTGATTAACCCTTTCTCTTCTGAGTAATCAAGAAAAAGGTTTCAGTGCTTTTCTCCACTTGCCTTCAGTGGGAACAAGGCTATGTGATGCTATGAGATATGGTTAGGTAATAAATGGAATTGCTCCAGTGATGGGCTGAACATACAGAAAAGCTCCAAACTGTCAGTGCAACCTTTGAGCTCAGTTACATCTTCACTAACAGCTCTACCATTTCCCACTAGATAAGCATATGGGCAACATTGTATGTCTAAGAGGACAAATCCAGACTCCTATTCCCAGCTCTGCAGTTGAATTGCTGCTTGACCTTGAGCAAGTCACCTAAGCTCTGTCTTAATTTACCCCTCTGTAAAAGGAGGATAATGTTAACAAAGCTCCAAGAGTGTTGACACTTAGCTGTCTATGAAGCACATGGAGATCCGCTGCAAGAAGTGTTGTTGTTGTCAAGGTCAAGGTCAGGAGAACTATTCTTCATATGGCACAGCTCTGAAGGGAGTTTAAAAGTTAAACCGACTTTGGTGCTGATGAACCTTTTTCATTGTTCTGTTATAACTTGTAGACAACAGGTGACCAGTGGGTAGGTCTGTGTTATATTTGTCCATGGAAAAAAAGGTGTCTTTCCTTCGTGTTGCAAAGTGGCAAATTTTACAGGATATCATTAAATTATAGCAATATGCATTATAACAGCCCAGTGTCAATCAGATGTTACTTTGTAAGGAGCTAGAAATGCTTCAGTACAGGCCTGATAAAACACAAGTTTTCTTCTCCCTTTTTAGCTTTGTTGCAGGGTGGATTTGATTTAAATCAAATTGATTTAAATCACTAATCAGGAAAACTCTATTTAATCATGGTTTTCTAAATAAAAATGCATTCTTGTTGGTTGTTACAAGCTTACTACATATTCTTCACAACTCTGAGATAGATGTAGGATTCATTTTTAGAAGGTACACATATACATTTTTAAACAGTGATTTATTTTGAAAACTTTTCAGATTAGTTTTACAGCTCTATCAGAAAATGAGTGATTGGTTATTTTATTTACCAAAGGTAATTGAGGCAGATATTTATGAAGTCATTGGGAGGTGAAGGATCTCCAATTCAACAGGTTAATCATTAATATTTGGAGGATTTTCTTGCCTTGCTGTATTAGGAGGAGAACATCACCAGGCAGACATTTAAATTGTTTTATTTAACTAAAACAACAACATTAAGTATTCTGGATTTTTTTCTTCAACAGCAAACATATAGTTTAACAAAAAAGCATATATCCCTCGCTTCTCACATTTATCTCCAGACTTCTCCTTGTCCAGATCTATTCTTCTCCTCCTCCTCCTCCTCCTCCCCCCCCAACAAATCTTCTATTCATTGAACTTTTTGAAACTTTGCACTTTTAGAGAGAGGTAAGGGATTGACTCTGTGTACACAAATTTGCAGAGGGACAATAGAGTTGCGGTCTGTTATTTCTCATCTCTATATATTTATTTATTTAAAAACATTTTTGCTGTTAACAAGCATGTTACCGCTGGGGAGACACATTCAGTTTGAGAACTGGGAAACTAAGCATCTCTGATGGTATCTTCTAGACTAAGCACTGTGTCCCATTGGGTAGATAGAAAAATTAACCCAAATAATCTATACAGAAGCCAGTGGAATCCCATAAGATTGGGTCACTAATCCATGAACTACTGGAACTCCTTTACAAAACTTTTCTTAAACATTACATGAAAGAATTAGAATTTATAATCCCTATTCCATGATGAGATATCTTTGAGCTATAATGTTTCTTAATTAAAGCTATCTTTAGATAGGTTTTTTCCTCAAAAAGCATTTTATCAAAAAAACCGATGTAAATAAAAAAAAAAAAATCAGATTTTTATTTTTAAAAATCAGTGATTTTTATCCACCCTGTTTTGTTGGAATTTCACTTTGAAAAATTCCAGGGATGAAAGGATAACTTGTTCAAAACCACAACAACCTTCAGTAAAGTAGCATGAACAGTCTGAAATTTGTGCTGTAGGAAAGTAGGCTTTGTGGCCAAACGGTAATGCAGAATTGGGTAGACCAGAGTACTGAATGACACGTTCTCAGATGCAAATGCTTCCACTAAATGAAAAAGGACTGCTATTCTTGTCTCTTGTTGCATTGTTTCAAACTCTTTCCTAGTCACTTATTTTTCCATGGAGCAGGTTGCAGTGCAGTCAAGCTTTTCCTTCTCAAAACATGATGGTGCTTTGAGAGGCCTATTGCCTGAAGTGTTTTTTCCCCCCCAAGCTTAATTGGAATATTGCATGTAGTACAAAACTAAAACTTGAGATCAGCAGTCATGTGAAATGTTTTATACTTCAGAGATCAAAATTTGGCAGAGCGGTTTCCTAATTCAGAATCCGTGTGTGTGTACATGTCTCTCTAGCACAACACTTTACATTCAGCATGGAATAACTGTCACCTTAAACTGTCATGTTTGTGTACAGAAGTGGATCCTCTAGGACCAGCAGGGTAGCCAGAGCCTAGCCATGCAAAGGAAGAAACAAGCCATTTAGAAGTGGAGAAGGGGAATAAACCTCTCAAGAACATAAACAAATGGGACCTTCTCCTCCCTAGCATGAGAAATGTCCCTATAGGCTAGGGCCCTTTTGTTCTGGAGTCTTAACTCTCCCTCTTGTGAATGGGTTCTGAATCAGGCAGCTGAAACAAGGAGCTTTTCCTGCATACTAAATCCCAGTATGGGAAGGAGGAAAAAGACAACACGAGAACTTAGAAGGAAAGGCACACTGTCCTCCAAAGAAACCAGCACTGCTCTTTGGGAGCATCAGGCTCTGTCTCCTGAGCTCTTGTCTCTAGTTTCCTCATCTTTCCTGGATGTTCCCAGTGGCCGAGCTGCAGGCTCAGCTCTGAGGGAGTCTAAGCAGGTCAGCGCAATCCAGCCAAGGTCCCACCGTAGCCAGCACTCTGCTCCCTACCCTCAGTAAGAATGAATCCCCCCTCAGCTCCCACCTTTTTCTGTGTGTGTGCAGCCAGCAAATTACTGGCAACGTTTTTACTTCCATTTTTTCCAGGCTAAATGGTAAATGTAATGTTTTCTGCAGAATCTGTGGCAACTGCAAGAATCATACCAATTGGGCATTTTTCACCTCAAATGCCACCTGTCAGCAGAAGATCAGTCCTGCCTCTCTCCCAAGGACTCTGTTTTTCCCTTCCCTTTTTTCTCAGTTGCAGTAATAACTGTTTCAAGCACCGAATCTTTAGGCTGGGGAAAGGGAGGAGAAAATGATGGATATAAAATCCTATTTCATGGTTTAATGTCCCAAAACTCCTCCAGAAATGGGTTCCGTTCTTGCTTTTTGGGAGTGGATGTTGAGCACTGTGTACATAATGAGACTGTTTAGACTGATTAAGTCCCTCTCTGGAGATTTGCATGCCTGTGCAGTATTTTTATTACTGCTACAGAATCTAGCACACCTATGTGTGGCTGCAGGGACGACACGTAGCCTGCCGGGCCCACATAACCTTCATCCTCCATGAACTGAGTGTTGTTGGTCGTAAATTGTGTCCCAATTTACGACCAAAATATGGGTGGCTTGTGATATAAACAGGTCATGGAAAGTGTTGATTTTATTCAGTTGTACTCCCTCCTTCCTGTCCTGTTACTCGATGCTTGCATTTGCCTCCTTAAGTTGGA